TCGTTCATTTGCTACGTCGACCATTAGTCCTCGAGCGCGGAGGAAGTCTGCCCCAAGTATTGGCCGCGTAACGTCGGCCAAGATAAATTTCCATGATACAGGTTTGTTTAATCCAATATTTAAACTTCTCACTTCTGTACCATACGTTGGGATTCTTGCTCCATTAGCTGCTATTAACGTTATCGTCGAATCATGCGAAGTATTCTTACCACTATCGCGAGGGACTACAGAAACTGCAGCACCAGTATCCACGAGGTAAGTCATTTGGGAAATTTCATCTTTAATGCTGAATAGATTTGAATTTTGTTTCTTTGAAATTGTTTGACATAGGTTCGGCGCACCTGGGAGCGGGACTGCAGGGCGCCTACTTAGTTTGACGACGGGTTGGAATTTGCTGGTGTCGTGTTTTTGTTACCGAACGGACAAGTTTTCGGCTGTTCGCAACGGGTTGCTTTGACGCCGAATTTGAAGTGCAGCCTGCATATCCTGTTCTTTTTTCCCTTTTCTGAACCGATTGCCGTAATTTCTGCTCCCGCTGGCTTTTGTCCAGTCGACCGCCGTCGAATGTCGTCGATTGCCTTCACGAAATCTTCGATTTTCAATGAATTGAAAGCCCTGGCCGTTGCTCTTTGGGTATCGGTCAGGGAACGTAGCAGCAGTTCTTTTGTCAACGCAACATGCAGATCCGGTACTCGGGATTTGTCGAGAAGAGATTTGATTCGCTGGTAGCCGGAACGAATGTCGTCCACTTCATAAGCCAATGCTGCTTCGACTCGATCTTCCGGTGACAGCGAGTATCGAGATAGAACCGCCTCTTTGAAGTCTCCATAAGGATCTTCCGAGTTCTCCAGGTCCGTCAGGCATACATCGTCGAATGTTTCTGGGTCTATTTTTGATAAGCAATGATCATATTTTGTGTTTGATGAGGTAATCTTTTTTAAACGGAATGCAGCCTCGCAACATTGAAACCATCTCTCGGTACTTTTGGTCGAGAAAGTCGGGAGCTTTAGGCCTATACCGCAGACCATTTCATCAATTTCGTCATCAGACATTTCGGAAACTTTGGGAACTTTCAACGTTTGTATTGTAAATTAACAGAAGGGTGGTCACCACTTTGGCGTCTCAGAAACTAGAGCCAAAGAAAGTCATACGTCTTGTTCCATAGAAAGTTCGGACCCGAATGGAGGTTATTGCCGGTTCCCGTAATAACC